CTTGGCGCGGCAGCGAGTTCGAAACTTCAACCCCGCGCCTCACGGGCGACCTCGACTTGCCGTCGCCGCGCCCCACCTCAGAGCTGTCTCTCTCTTCCCTGCACGAAGCATTTTATGAGGCGGAGTCCGATATGCTGGAGATGCCCAGCAGCAGCGGCGGCCTTCAGGACTCCCCCAAGCAGTGGCGGTCGCCGCAGCTCGAGCGCCAGCGGTATATCCAGAAGGGCCAAGAAGACCGCTATCGCGAAGCCCTGCGGCGACGCACCCTGATGGAGGCGGAGCGGCCGCACACCGCCACGCCGCCCAACGTCGTGGAACTAGCCAGATTACCTGCATTTAGTGAATTTTCCAAGGAGGAACTGAAAGTCATTTCCAAATCACTTGAGAGACGTGAATCTCTACAGGTTGCAGATCAAGAAGGGTCATACCGCCTTGAGGAAAAAAAAGAATCTTTTAAGCCAACCGAACGCAAGGATTCAAATCGACTCCTTGAGTGGATGCAGCAATATAAGGAACAAGAAAAGCGTGATTCCCAAAGGAAGAAAGACCAGGCAGAGGCGTGGGTTCATCCCCACACGGAAGTTGGCAGGAGAGTTGAGCGGGCAGACTCTCTCGGTAGTGCAGAGAGTAGAGAGTTTCGCGGAAGTACGGAGAGGAGGAGGGCCTCCTTCTCCCGTGACAGAAGTGTTGATAGGAAGAGAGATTCGTCAGCTGGCCTTGAGAGACAGGGGTCACTGCGCTCTCAGGAGCTGAGGGAACTTATGAGTCATCTGGAAAAGAAAGATTCCCATCAGTTCTTAGAAAAGAAGGATTCGGGTAGATCTCTTGAGAGAAAAGACTCATTTAAAGCAAGAGATAAGAGAGAGTATTATTGTGCACTTGAGAGGAGGGATTCTGGTCGAACGGTTGAGCGCAGAGATTCTTCGAGGTCACTGGAACGCCGGGACTCTGGCAGAAGTTTAGAGAGAAGGGATTCTGGTAGGGCACTGACCCGGACAAGTTCTGGCAGATATGTTGAAAGAAGAGACTCTGGCAGGGCTGTAGAATTGAGAGATTCGGGTAGATGTATAGGAAGAAGTGATTCTGGCAGGTCTGTTGATAGAAGAGATTCAGGAAGGATATACGAGGGTAAAAGAAAAGATCTCGCAGAGGCTTCAGACAGAGGGGATTCCAGGTATGATGAAGCTGAGGAGGGAGGAAGGCGTTCTCCCGAGAGAAAACGGTCTTTTTTAGAACAGCTTCTTGAAAGAGAGGAATCCTCGCGATCTGATTCTGTCGAGTGGCAAGATGTCGTCTCCACAGTGAGGAGACGCCTGTCTGCTTGTGCCAAACAGAGTGCAGAAGCAGCCACACCCCAGTCTCCTCAGTCTGAGATTCCTCCTCAGATGCCTGCACATGAGCGAGCTGCTTCAACACTTTATGGTGAAGAGGCAGTGCCACAGCTGCCAGGACATGAGCTGGGGCACAGAAAGGGAAGTAGTGCCTTTGAGGAATATAGTGAACCCCGAACAACTACGGTTGGAGGACGATTTATTAATATTGGATTGTTTCGGCACCTGCCAAGGTTCCCTTTTAGCCAAACCGTGCCTGTTCCTGCATCACGGTTAATGGAAGCTCGGACTACATGTATCCCAGAGCAGCGTAAGTTTGTTAGACCCCAGTTGTTTGGAGAGTTGAGGCTCTCATACCCAAAGCGTAGAGGTATTCATTTTGGGCCACCACGCAATCCCCAGTGCTCTTGTGAAAACTGCCGCAGTTGGTCAGAAGCCTCATCCAATGGCCAGCTAGCAGGCAGCCGGTTACGAGCTTGGTCATTAACCGACCTGGGAGCCGACAGTAGTGGCATAATGCTCCCTCAACTTCCTGGCTCCTACCCTGGTACCTCACTCTCCCGTAACAACAGCAATGCCAGCGACAGCGCAGCTATCTCCCATGTAGGTAAGCCACATACACTGGACACTACCATAGCCCACTCCGCCACTCCCTGTCACCTGCACACGCTACCCATCGAATCACCACCTCACAGCCATCATCATAAACATTCTCTAACCGACACTAAAACATCACGCAAAATCAGAATGAAGTTCAGTGTCCTAATGAAGTGTAATTAGAAGTATGAAACCCCAAATTTTTAGCATGTGAATAACATTATTGTGACGAGCAGTGTTCAGAGTGTGTGACCATGCAGGAATGAAATGTTTTTTCTCTTCTTTTTATTATGCATCTAACATTTGACACTTTTGATAACAGGTTTGAGGTGTTTTTTCTGTTGCTTATTCTCTGATAACCAACACTTTTATGTTTGCATTTGGCAGTTTCATGACTCTCAAGTTGTGTGGCAAATTGTCAATGAATGTGTTCTCCCCACAGGCCCAGCAGAGGCTGGAGGAAAGCAGCCATAAGCTGGATTTGATTCGACTCTCCCTGGAGCGGCTACGGGGAGACTTACCACATGGCTCCATTATGGCCGGGGAGGTGAGTTGATCGGTCCTGAAGGAAA